GTCGACGACTCGAACAGCGATACCCTCAGATATGCGCCCAGTGCGAGCCCAAAGTTCAAGCTCAGCTGGATCAGGCCGGCTACACGGCGCGGACCGACCATCTACGACGCATGATGGATAGGAGCAGGAAAGTCAGGGTCGCTCCAAAACAATTAACCTCGCTAGATATTGCGGCTAAGGTGGGAAGGTGGCTCTGGTTTGGTGGTATTTCTTGCCAATACCTGTGGCATGTCGCATCCTTGGCTGCTGTCTTTGCGACGCAATATGATGAAGGGCCAATGCGAGACCCAGACGCGGATGCCGAAAGCACAATGGTACAGAGACTTTCACTTGCTCTTACACTGCTTCTTCCTCGGCCTGAGAGACTGATACACTGGAGTCTATGGACCAATGCTGTGAGCATCTGGTGGAACCCCAAATTCGTTCAGGTCTTCCGTGGCTTCTCTCGTCATATCCTGGGCTTGTCACACTGGTACACCTTTCAGGGGCTCATCATCTTCACTCGATTTCTTGCCATGAGAATGACCGAAATGAAAGGCGGGCGATCAGCTGAAGGAAGTGCCCAGATGAGCCTCCATGGACTGATGGCTGTGTTGATGCTAGCTGTGAGTGACACGAATTACGATCTCCCGAAGGCGCTGCTGACTCGATGCTGCAGATATACATACTTGCCCAACGATCCGTACGTGTCGACATGACACCGCTATTCCAGAACACCGGAACACCAGCTGCGTCACCACCAAGACCGCAAACGGCGCAAGCTCGAGAGGACGACAACAAGAACATGGCGAATCTTCTGGACGACATTCTAGCCGAGTCCAGCCCGAGGCCAGGGATTCCTCCAAGTCCAACGAGCGTTGGCTCAGCATCACCAGCACTCTTCCAGCGGGAATTGCAGCACAGATCGAGCAACCGGAATATTGGCATCAACACTCCGCAAAAGCTGCCTCAGCCCCAGTATTCGGAGGAAATGGATTGGTCTCCGACACAATCCAAACACCGGGCCTTCAACGACTTTGGACCTCCAAAGGCACCGAACCAGGTGTTTGGGCAACCTGATTCAGGCCCCAACTCGAGCCCGTTCTGGTACAAGGTTCCTCCCGCGCCGATAACACCGGCGCAAAAGCTTCGCAACGGTCCCAAGGTGTTGACGAAACCGGTGGAGAAAAAGTCAATCTTCACAACCGGCAGGACGGATGCGTCCAAATCGCGGGGCGAGGACGCGAGCAGCGACACGGGCAAGGTGGCATTTGCGCAACCCACGTTCTTCGCGCCCTCGGCAATGTCGAACCCCAGTGATCCACGCAGCTCCTTGGCCGATCTGCTCAATTCGAGTTTTACGCTGAGCCTAGACGACGATGAAGAAGAGGGAGAGACGTCGGCGGCAACGAAGACGGAAACAGGAAATAAGTACGCCGAGCTTGCGAACCCCGGACCTTCGGCACGAACGGCTGGTCTGCGTAACAATCGCTTACTGGACGTTTTCACCTTGGCGATCCTCCTCGGCGCGTGGCTCCATGCGACATCTGCGTCATACCCGTATAGCCGGGACGTAATGTTTGGCGCCATGCTCCTGAGCATGGCTATTGCCATTCACCTCACCAGCGACGCAATCAGGGACATGCGCAACGAGAATACGCCCAGCTTGGCGTCCATTATCAACACGTCGCTCGGGATAGGAGAGCTGGCGGTGGCATGTCACTTTGCGCTCCAAATATGGGGTGATCGGACGCCGACGTCCGGATTGCACGGCGCGTCGGTCATTGGAGCGATACTCGCGCATGAGATGTGGAATGCTGCTTGCTAGAGAGCATCCGTATATCCCGTTGGCCTCCATCGGGTGTTGTGGAGAAAGAGACAACAAGACACCAAAAGAAACACATGAGATGAGTAACACGAAGCTTTGATTGGCATTGTTCAGCGGCGTTTATCGGAATTTGGGTATAAGGCTGCATAAGGGGCACACAGGAGATTCATTGCCTGGGTGACCACTTGGATACACCAACGGAGAAGAGAGTAGAGAGAGGTTCATGGACTTGACGTCTTTGCGCCCTTTGGTTTTTGGGGTTTACGGGTAGGCAGCTGTGTCGTTGAATAGTTAGACAATGGTATATCGACGATGTCGAACGGTGTTACGGCGGCCCCAGTGGTCCAAGTCTAGCGAAGTCTGGCGGGACCGGGGGCGGAGTGGAGGGCTTTGGGAAAAAAAAGAGAATTACCGATCATGCATACTACCGCCGTTCCACGCGATTTTCCTCTCTCTTTTCCCCGGCTCGCCCTCGCTCTCGGGTCCTCTGATCCATCGTCTCCTCTCTGAGAAATCAAACTTGTTAGCCTCGATGCGAGTGTGCGAGTACCTACTTAATGGTGTGGTCCAGCTGTGCGTTTGGCACCCGCTAGTCTGCGTATTAGTGGTACGACGGGCTCTGTTTGCTTTCGGTCGAGCCGGGGCACCGTTAGGAAATACAAGTACTCCGTAGAAGGTCGCGGCTGAGTGAGCCGGACGAAATATCGAATCAACTGCCCGTTGTATGGCTGGGCCTGCCATGGAATCCTCCGAGGTAGACCGACGCTACGGGCCCCGGTGTACGCTAGAAGTATAGAGAGTTATTGCTAACCTTGCTACGCGTATGCTACGATGCTGTTCCGAGCTAGATCGTGGTGCTTGATGGCCAGATGGGGGAGTCCTAGCACATGCCAGAGGCGCCGCCATGGCGTCGTTCATCGCATGGCCTGGGCTCGTCTGCATGCCTTCGATGCTGTGATTTCATAACGCTGCTTTGTATTCGTGGATCGCGGGGTTTACCCTCATAGCATCATCTGTCAAGTTTTCATCGTAGAGAATTGGTTCCACTAGTTTACGGTCGGTCGTGGGAAACAAGCATGACAAGATGCCCAGGATCTTGTTCGGCATCTCACTCTTTTTGGGTCTTTGGGATAGTGACCCGAAATTGTGAGGCCCGGATCCCTGATGACAGGAGCAAATTCAAAGTACCTGAAGTTGATGCGAAAGAGTCTTGGAAGATAACAAGTGATGATAAATCCAGGCGAGTCTCCGCCCGCCGGTGGGACGGACGTAAGTAACCCGCTCGTTCGCGAGGTTACCAAACCTAACACCGAGATGGTAACGGGGAATCATCCCGGTCAGCCTCATCGAGAAAATCTGACAGGCATCTGCCGCTCGGTGCCGAAAAAGGCGAATGTGGCCGGCCTACGAGATACGGGTACCAGGACCCTAGCCAAAATCATTGTTCGGTGAGTAATAACAGCTTAGTCTCCACTCAGCAGAATTCGAGGAGTGCTATCTCTCTCCGTGCTGCGTAATAAAGTTGTACTCCAGTATGAGTACGGATACTCGCCCTCTCACAACCGTGGTCCGTCAGAAGGTTACCAGAAGCACTAAGTAGTACGCATTTGCAGTAAGCTTTGTGATCGCTAATGGGTACTTTTTTGTGCGATGCTCGTAGGGCAACTCCAGACGTGCCGGTATTTCCGGGTGGCTACCGGGTAATGGGGATAATCAGATAATCATCGTGGGCCGCAAGGTAAGGCTTTCCTTGATTTTGGGCTGGGTATGGCACCAGCTAGCGTCACCAGTACCGTGATAAAGGCGACTCAAGGCCCCAATGCTTCGAGTTGTGATGAAGAGTGAGGTAATGCCGTCACTTTGGCAGCCTGGCTGAGACGGAATTGGCTGGTTCGAGGGTTGGAGACAGGTAGTGTTTGCTTTTCCCCTTCTCTCTTTTGCGTCATGTCAGCAAGTAAATAGGTACACCGAGGTACCTTACGTCGCTTACCTTGCTATAGTTACCAGGAAGTCGGTACACACAGTATAGAACCCTTGCGTGGGATTCCGTACGGCTTACACAGCCTGCCAGCCTCTGCTGAAGCCACAGATGTTTGCACCAATGTAAGTCGCATGCCACGCTCGGTCGAACCTGTGCGGGAGTCGACTGTTTTGGGCGGCGTCCGTACCAAGGGGGCATATGACGTACTGAATGGATTGTCACTGCGAAGCGAGTGACAGAATGCGACAGCCTGGAATGGGGATGAAGCAACCAGAAGAACCCCATGTCTTCATCAGCTATTCCCTGTGAGATAATATGTATGCGTCTTTGGTAAGTTGGTTCACCGTACTGTCGAATACAATAAGTTGTGTGGAATGAAGTGAGGTCAGCGAGATTCGAGGCGGGGGTGAGACTGGAATGCTGGTTTGTCCAGGAGTTCAGTCAGAGTCTCCGTAGCCGTCTGTGTAGCGAACTTTGGCGCTTCTTTCCGGCGGTTGCGGGATGACTCCAACAGAATAGAGTCACGTTGACAGTTGCGAAGATCAGTCATCGAGCTTCCGTATGTCGTGGGCGCTCGATCGACGCAAGACGAGGCTGTTCGTATGTGGCTGGGTGACGCCGTCCGAAGACCCCCGCGTCCGCCGTCCGCGTGAGTTCCCCTACTGGCCATGACATGGCACGACAGGACGCAAGAGGAACAGTGGCCTCGAGCCGGGGCGATGCAGACGATGCAGGGCGCCTGTCTCGGAAGGCCAACCACTGCTGGACACCACCCATTCAGCATAAGTCGAGCACTACCTACTTTTGTTGATCGCTGATCGTCCATGGATGGGCGTATTGCGAGAGAAAGTTATTTGGAGAATCCCTGCTTGAGTCTCCCCTCTCACTGGTCCAGTGGTTGTAGTCCATAACACACGGTTTAAATGCAGCTCGACCGGCGGACTGTCATGAAGGGGACCAGTAAGGTTTCGAGCAAATGTTCCCCCAAGATGCGACTCTAATCGAGACTGGCAAAGTCTGGGGAAAAGTTGATGGTTGGTGGTGTCCTGTTGATCCCAGCATTCGCGTTGCGAGCAATAGCAACTGTACTCCGTACCAGTCGTGCCAGTGCGAGGTACAACCGTTAATAGCATGGACGGACGCGCATCGCTTTATCGGTCGGGTTTGAAGGCAATCCGCCATTCGCGGAAGACGGGAAGAGGAGATCACCGATCATATCAAGTTTTGGGTTGAAATTGGTAGAGAGGTCCAACCGCGGGTTGGCGCTGAATCTCTGTAACTGATCGGTGTCTGTCGAGTCTGTCTGTCAAAGTGGTGCACTGGTGCTGCCACAAGAAGACGCATCGACCGGTGCCCGCCGTCTTCCCTTTTGCCTCGTTGTCCTGGTGCGCCCCGTGGCTGAGAGTTGCCGATCATCTGTGGCTGCTGCGTCAGCGCTCAGATCATCGGAGGGTTTTCTTTCTTCTCGCTATGCGTGCTCCGTACGGACCGCTCGCTGTTTTGCTGTTTTGCTGGTCTCTGCGCTTTCCTTTCCCTTTCTGTTGGCTGGTCCCTGATCGCTTGGCGGTCTGCCACAGTTGTCACAAGTTTGTTGTCGCCCCTTTTGGGACTTTGCTGTTGAAAGCCCGAGACAGCCCACCCGGCCATCGTGGCATACCTTTACAGGCTTGCTATGGGGCTGGAGGATGTTGATGTTTTGTTGCGCGGCCAGCGAGTGTCCATCTTGCCAGGTTGATGCGAGTTATGATGATGTTGTGGATTTGTGATTGTTATACCAAACTCCAAGGAAGAGACGGTCGTGCAGATTAATGGGAGTTAGGTTGCTGGGTTGAATACCTACGGAGTATTGAGGTACGTATCCCGCATTTCGCATCAAAAAGGTGCTAAGAATATCATGCCTGAGGGTTGACCTTAGGTAGGTTCCACGGGAAAGAGGAGTGAAGGTACGTATCGCCACAAGTATCCGTACCTCCCCTTCTCCGTGTCAGAATACGTACCCAGTCCCCCAAACAACGGTCTCTCTGCTTCTCTCCAGCTTGGCTCTTACGGGTCTGCGGCTCCAAAGCTTACAAAGTCAGCTCGGCTCAAACTCCAGTGGCAGAGTGGCCCAGAGTCGCACCTTGTTTGTTTGTGGTTTAGTGAGCGTACCCTTGCTGCGTCCCCCACACTCCCATCTCTTGTATCTCCAGCGTGGACTTTGGGGGAGAGATACATGGTCAGCCGAGTCCTCGCCCTTCCTAGCCTCTCGCTGGCCTGAGGTCTGCATTGGCCGGGTCCAGCCCACTACGGAGTACACACTCGTCACCTTGGAAGCATTGCATTTTCCCTTTGAATTTTCTTGTCCCTCACTGTCTCCAGCAAAAACTTCAGAGAGTCCAGTCTGAGAGTGAACCTCCAGAAGTATTCATGTACCTCTGTGCCGGTGGAAGTAAGGTACGACAGGTACGGAGTACATCCCTTCCCCAAATTTTGTGATGCCACCACCCCACCCCTCCTCCTTTTTTTTTCGTCTCCCCTTCGTGCCTTCCTGGTTCTCCATTATCGAGACTGTCTCCGACCTCCGCCTTCTAAGTCCGTTCAGGTCTCTGACCGTCACCCATCAAAATCAATCTTTTTCTTCCTCTCTCCGTCTGCCTCTGCCTCTGCCTTCCCCTCTCCCCCTTCCTAAAATTTAAACCAATACTTGGGCCTTGAACCTGAGACAACCCCCAAGGCAGATCTTTCTACCCACTTCACTTCGTCTCGTCTTGGCCAAGCATTTCGACCAAAAGCCAAGCTATTCGTACGCCAGCAGAGAAGAAAAAGGTACGTAGCAGCAGGCCTTCCCCGTCATTCACCTTTGGGTTCCTTGCGCGGTCAGTCAGGGCAGGCAGGCTCAGAGGTACCTCATCACCAAAGCCAAGGCATGGGTGTACTTCAGCCTCCTCCACCGCACCCACGTCCCACCCACCTCACGCACCACACCGCGGACCATTCATTCAACCCATCCCACACATTACGATGCTCATTTACTAACCCGCTCCTCCCGCGCGCACCCAGGGTCCTTTTCCTCTTTCTACCTCTGCCTCACTTCTACAACCAATACCAATCAACTATCTAAACCACCCCCCAAACACTCTTCATTTGTCTCTCTCGCCTGCACAACTGGGATTTCCAAATTCGTCACCGAGATCTTGCGAGAACGAACCGTCGCCTACGCCTGCGACAACATCAACAAGACCACCTTACCCGCGATTCACGACAAGATGGACCTCAATTTCCAACTTGCCGCCCGTCAGGTTTCTGCCTGTGCTCTTTAGAGACACGCAAAGGGACATCTTTCAACATTGCCTCTTGTCCCACGGGAGGAAAAACATCATTGCACGCTTTTCAACACTCCTCAAAAAATAAATACCAACCGACAACACGTACCGCTTCGCTCACACGACCACTTACCCTTTCCTAACCTTTCTCCGAAACCCTGAACTTTACTACCCACGAACCCCAGAAGACATAAGTACTGCAACACCCGTGAACAGTCACGCGATCAAGCTCACTCCACGATCACTCCACCCACGACTTACACCATTACCCCATACCATGGCTGGTGCCGTGGTCTCCAAACGAAGTGCGAGACAGTTCCTCGAAGACGAAGGCGGTCATCCCGCAGAGCATCCTACCTACCACCCCGCGAGACGCAACTCCAAGCAAGACGATCCCGTCCCTGTTGAGATGGCCGACAAGTACCAAATCAAGGGCCCTTCGCGGCAAGGATCGCGCGAGTCCGTAGCTGGCTCCGACTCTACACTAGAAGGTTCTTTACAGAAGCAGATCATGAAAGCGATCGAAGACGATTCCCAAACGGCCGCCATTATTGGAGAGAAGACATTGGCCAGGCGTGAGGATGGACTCCTCAAAGTCAACGACCAGGCGAAATCGCCTCTGGGCCCTACTATGTCGCCTGATATTGAGCGAGTCTTGCCAATTGATGGACGACCAATTAACTTTGGCGTTGTTGTCCCCGGAGTCTATCGAAGCAGCTATCCCAAGCCTGAAGACTTTGGCTTCATCCGCAATCTTGGTCTCAAATCAATTGTGTAAGTCACTACAGGTTCCGATTCTCGCCAGCGGCCGTTTCTAACATAGCTTCTAGTACCCTTGTCCAAAAAGACGACGTCGATGAGCCTTACACTGCTTTCATGTCAAGCAACGGTATTCGTCACCATGTCTTTAACATGAAGGGTACCAAGAAGGAGGCCATTCCCATTCGCACAATGAAGTCAATCTTGCGGCTTGTTCTGAACCGAGAGCACCACCCCCTCCTCATTCACTGCAACCATGGCAAGGTATGTCTACAACACCAGACAGTCTTGGTATCGTTCGCCCACTAACATGACTATAGCATCGCACTGGCTGTGTCGTTGGCGTGGTTCGCAAGGTGACGGGCTGGGAGCTCAACACCATTGTTGATGAGTACCGGGCATACGCTGAGCCCAAGATCAGAGACTGCGACGTTAAGTATCTCACCGACTTTGATCTCTCGGATCTTTCCAACCTGTTTGTCCACGAAGCGAACATGCGGTTTCGCATTCGACACTTTATGAGAGTGACCCTATTCACTGTCTTTGTCGTCTTCGTCTGGTTCATCTCGGGGCATAGAATGCAGACGACAGCCAGACGCGTCAAAGAAGTGAAGTAATCGTCCCTGTCGCGGGTGTTACAGACTCTGGCATTTCTGCATGGTGCTTGGCATTGGGCGGATCTTGGCCGAAGTCTGAACTTGGTGGAGCGCAGCGCAACATGGTACAGCACTCTAGAAGTAGACTGGAGACTGTTACCCAGCGACGATACCATACACAAAGACAGAAGAAGACTACACAGCGATGATGAAAGACAGGGGAGAAGGCTGTCACAGCACCGGTGAGAGGAAGATCGACGAGATGAGTCGAAGTACATGAGAGGGAGCAGAAGAATAAGGACACACAAAAAGTTTGGTACATTGGGACTACCGCCCTCAAAGATGCAGCATAGACTGCCTGGGTTGGACCGGCTTCCTTCAATTTTTCGTTGTATGGATAGACAGAATACTGGGGACTCATCAAGAGCTGAGATGTCTCCTTTTGGCGTTAACTCGAGACTTGGGAAGTCATCGACAATGGCATTTCATCAAGTACAGGCTTTTTCCTTTGCTTTTTTGTTGTAGTGTATTACTATCTTGTTAGGGTAGTTTGGACAGATGACTATTTGGGGAGGTTATGACCTTTCTGCAAACGCAATCGACTCAAGTCAACGTAGCTGATTTCTACATTGTCGAGATTCGTGTACATACTATTCCAAAAATTTGGTCTACCCTTAAAGTGCCCGTTTCTCCGTCTCCACGCTTGCTATTTTCGTGTGCAAGCATTGATTCCCCCAAGCGCTTATCGAGATCATGGTATATGTGTATGTCGATCCATCCCCAGACGCTACTGTTTCGCGTAACGACGTTTCGTCTCATGACTCGACGTATGTCATTATCCTAACAGACTTCCCCTATAATCGTACAATATTCCTTACAGTCGATACTATTAATGTCTACGTTGGCTTGGCATCTTGAGTTTCTTCAGACAACTCGAGCCGAGCCAAGACCGCGCACCACCTCTCAGGAGAGTGGCAGCACTCCCACGGCAGAGACCAGATGGAAGAACATCATGCCTCATGTTTCCCTGAACATGGCCCCCCTCGAGTCTTTTCTCTCCGCCTGGCAACTCTCAAAACTTTTGTCTTCTCCGCCCTTCTCTCCCTCTCTCATGACTCCCCGCCCCAGCGATTCCTCTCTTTCCTCTCCACCTCATCCTTCTTCCGATCGCCATTGGCGTACACCCACGCGCCGGCAGCAGAGTTGGCAAAGCCCATACCGATGGCAGTGCCGCGGACGAGGCCGCGGGCGGTGAACTTGCTTCGCAGAGGTTGGCGGCGGCGCAGGGCGAGGAGGGCGTAGAGGCCCGAGAGGGCGCAGGTGAAGCCCGCGCTGTCTGTGGGGAAGCCGGCGAGATTGACGTAGCTGCTGAAGAGGAGGGCGGGCGCGAAGGAGGCCGGAAGGATCTTGAGGGGCCGGCCGTGGAGGGCGCCGATTAGGATCGCGTGTATTGCGGGCGGGAGGGGGTTTGCTGGAGAGTGTTAGTGGGGGGCAAGATGAATGGAATTGGTTTTGGGGCAGTTGGAATAGAGGGGAGGTGGTGCGTACTGCCATAGTCGTGGATTTTGCTAAAGATTGATGACTTGACGTCTTCCGTGTCTGAGAGGCCGTTGTCGGCTGCCATTGTCGCTGGAGGATTTGGGATTTTGGCGACCGCAAGACTGGGCTGATTTCGCTGTTGGAGCGAGGAAAGGATATCGTCACTGATTTTTTGGAGTCGCAGCAGGGACCTTACCTCGAGGTAGGTACCTTAGCTCATTCCCGTATTAGTGACATATGTTATCGATAAGAAGAGACCCTGCTCGGATGAGTCAGCTGAGCCGCATACCCAATCAGCTGGTCCGTGGTTCCGGGGCGTCGGGCGAGTCTCTCAATTTCGACCTCCATCGAGTGGATTGGAACTTGGTACAGTGTCTTGTTCCCCCCATGTTGGCTGGAACTCTTGCGACTTTGGTCTACATTTCTTTCGCTTTCGCAAGATAGTCACACAATTCCCTCCCACGAATACACAAGATTGTTTGCCACTTTCCGGGTTCATTGACGACAGAGTCCCGAGTCAGCGAGCTATTTGCTGCACCTGGTGCGGGGGAGCATCGCATCAGTAACGTGGGCTCTTAGCCTTGCATCGCCTATCTTGCCAGATTGGCAAAACCCACCAACGCAACATCGCATCCTTCAACGACTGCGCGCACCCACGGCCGCAAAGAGCCTCGATCCAACCCGCACACACTCTGTGTGCTTTTATACGCAATACCGTCAAGCGCAATCATTAACTTGATTCCGACCATCCGATAGACGATTCCTCGATCTTGCCCCAGCAACCACATCACCACACCAAAAAAAAAAACACAAACACACATACATACCAAACCATGCCGAGCGCAACAGCCTCGGGCGCCGACTCAGGCGGCGGCGCCCGCAACCGCGAGCACAACCAGGGTAACCAGGCCCGCGCCTACACGGTCGACCAAAAAGCCGCCGTCCTGCGGATCCGGAAATGCTCGCCGACGGCCTTTTACGACATCCTCGGCCTCGAGGAGGTGAAGACGACGGTGACGGAGAGCGAGATCAAGAAGGCGTACCGCAAGCAGTCGCTCCTGACCCACCCGGACAAGAACGGCCACGAGCACGCCGACGAGGCCTTCAAGATGGTCAGCCGCGCGTTTAGCGTGCTGGGCGACAAGGAGAAGCGCGAAAAGTTTGACCGGTTCGGTACGGACCCCGATTCGAGATTTGGGCAGGCACAGGCGCAGAACCCGTTTAGTGGATTTGGTAGGCGGCAAGGCGGCGGAGGGGGAGGAGGTGGTGGTGGCGGCGGTGGTGGTGGGATGGAGGAGATGACGCCTGAGGAGATGTTCCAGCGCTTCTTTGGCGGTGGTGGGTTTGGTGGTGGACCTTTCGGAGGCGGAGGTAAGAATGAAATTATTTCGAGAGACTGGGCGATGAAGCTAATGATGGCGCGCAGGTTTCGATACGGGACCTCAGTTCGTGTTCAACTTTGGCGGCGGTCCGGGTTTCAGGGTACACCAGTTCGGCGGAGCGCGGCCGCGGAGGAGACCTCGCGAGGCGACGGAGCAAGAAGGAGGCGGGCTCTCGACGCTTATGGGCCTGCTCCCGATCCTGCTTCTCTTTGTCTTCCCGCTCATCTCCAGCCTCTTTAGCGGTGGCGGCCCCGCGACGCCGAGCATCGTCTACGACAACCCCAAGGGCGCCTACACGCTGGGGCGGACGACGCCCAAGCTTAACGTCAAGTATTTTGTCAACCCCAAGGAGGTTGAGTCGTTTTCCAAGGGGAAGCTCAGCCAGCTGGATCAGACGGCGGAGAACAACCTGGTCAGGACGCTGCGGTTCGAGTGCGAGAATGAGATGATGGCGAGGCAGAGGATGTACGATGCGGCGAGCGGGTGGTTCTTCCAGGACCCGGATAAGATGCGCAGGGCGGACGAGTTTGAGATGCCTTCGTGTAAGAGGCTGGAGACGTTCCGTGTGGGCAGGTAATTAATGCGTTTGGGGGGATCTGTCTATCTGGTGATTACATCTTTAAGAGGAATAGAGCGGATGAGAGAGGTGGGGGAGGAGGCAAAGGCTTTGTATGAAATGGAAAGGGAGCTCGGAGAAGCTGAGAGACGCGCCCGCTTCACT